ATGAAATATATTTAAAATTATTGAGAAATATCCGAAGAACAGTACATTGCTTTTAAATGTAAAAGTTATGGATATGGAAAGGAATTGCCCGACACACACACACACGGATCAGCGAAAAATGGCACAGATTTAAAAAAAACGGGAAACCACACTGAGCAAATAACATCAGATTTAAACACTGACCGAGAGTTTCCGTTTAAGCAGAATATTTCGTCACGAGTTTCGTAGATTAGTATTTTATGGCAATGTTGCAAAGCGCACAAACATCACTTTACTATTTGTGACAAAAATTACATATATAGCTCAAAGTGTATTAAAACTGAAACCTTAATGACTGGAAATTGTTTTGACACAGATTCTTATGTGTTTTATACGAAAAAAAACCAGTCAAATTTTGGTGAAAAAAAGTTCCACTTTGGCTGCTGTTACTTTAATAGGTAAATATCAGGAAAAGCAGTACCCTTTTTCTTTTTCAATGGAAGAAAATGTTGTTACTTACGTTTTATCGCACCAATGCCAACATTCAAAATAACTCGCCAAGTTTGCAACGCTGATTTCGAATGTGTTGACGCGCTAAATTGTGGCAACCAAGTGCTTCGTTTCATTTAATGTCACCTATAGGTTGCGATAATATGTAAGAATAGAAAGACTTTTTCGGTACTAATGTATTATTACAACAATTGCCAACTCTATTAATAACTCGCCAAGTTGGCAACCAGGATTTCCTATGTGTCGTCTGCACCGAATTGGAAACCATGTGCTTCATTTTATATAGTGCCGCTAATGGGCTGCGATAATACATAAGCTCTTATTTTTTTGACCAAATGGTCATGCTATGCAGTTGGAAGTAGGCAAGAAGTACTACTGAAATGTACCTATATTGAGGTCATGACTTAGTTTTATGCTATACTTTTTAATGGGATGGGTGTTGTGATATCAACATCTTATGGATTGTAGCCTAAGTACAACCGTAGATTGATAATACCACAAACCTGCGAGGTCCTTACAACTAATAAGTACCAAAATATATATAAATTTTTGCAGTTTTTTTTCATGCAATATTTTTTTTTTGAATCACTACATTGAAAATTAAGAGATATACATAAAAAAATACTCAACTTTGGGAAGTTTAATCCGTTAGAGCTAATTAATTAATTAAAAATATTCAACTATAAAATTAAATATATACAATGTTCACTTAAAATAAATATTCAGAACGTTTTCTAAGGTCTTCATTAACATAAAAAAAGACATCTTTTGATATTAACTATTTTTTCGGAACAAAAATGACAATCGCAATCTGCTGAAAAACGCAATTTCTGCTATAAAACTATTCGTCTTCCCCGCTAAAATACTCATCATAGAACCCATGCTGCCATATATCTTGGAAGAGTGGATTTAAAAGAATATTCTTGCAAAGTATCGTCGGAATATTCGTAAAAATGGTTTTATTCTATGTAATTTTAAAGTAAGTAGTAAGTACCGTCGGTAGATAAAGGGTTAAAGAGTGCCCTCAAACCTTCTTGATGCTAATAGCAAAGTTATGACGTATCATGGATATCAAATGAAATAGGATATCGGACGGTATGAAAATATCTTTTAAAGTAGCCAGTATAGTAATTACGTTAGGTCTTGCAAGAAGGGTAGTTGTTTCATTACGCAATCCATATGCAGTATAAAAAACCACAAAAATATAAGAAATAATCATGTACAAAAATAAAACAGACACATAAATTTAATGAGCATTCATCTTTTAAATGGCGTTGCAGAAAACAGATTTTATTATTATCTAAAGTCACAGCTACGTTTGAACACAAAATATTTTGATTTGATACCCGAACACACATATACAAAACACTGAGAAAACTTTGGTATCGCCCACCACATTAGCGGGGAAAAACATGACCAGCGATCAGGCACATACTGCATATGGGCAAAAACTTATAATATTTTCATTTGTCAAAGTCAATTAGCATTAATGAATTAAACAAAGTTTCATCACTTTTGTTTGAAATTCCGGAAAAGGATAAAATAATCTTAACTAAGAGAGAGAAAACACGATACACTTCGGTCAACTTCACTAAATCAACTGTAAAAACAAAAGCTCGTTGCCATATTAAATTTTTTTTTCTTGGAAAGAACGCTTTTTAGGATAGTTTTTTCGAAAAACAATTGTTATTCTGCTACAAAGAATGAAAAAAAAAAAACGACTAAATGCAATTTTAAATGAATACATTTATCTGTGTCCAGTATAATATATCTTTTTCCATGTTGAGATCCCCTGCCATGATAACTGCTACTTCAGATGTTGTAGGTTCATTAAAACGTCTTCTGTGTTCACCAGCGGGAACTTTATCTGCATGAATAATTATACGAAAATCTGATCCAAGTTTTTCGATTGCACATTTGAAGCTTTTTATGTAAGAGTTATTACGTTATAACATGTCTTGTAAGCTCAAAAAACTAAATCTTGCTTAACTTGTTGTACAATCTCGCACTGCTGTTCAGCTTGTTCCGTATTACTGTCTGTAAAATAAATCTAGAAATTTATAGAAATTATAAAATACTTTAGTTTTAGAATTATTCATGAAAATCTTTAGCAATAATTATTAATATGTTTTTTATGACATAAAAGTGAAATGATTATGAATAGATAAGTAACTTTTGGGGTTATTCAATACACATTTTGCCTTTTTTTTATTATGTATTCAAACTACTTATGATGATTTAAAAATTTTAAAAATGTTATTAAACAACTTTTACTTGTATTTTAACATAAAATAGAGAATTTGATACGTGCAAGAATTAAATTGAAGAAAGCATTTTTTTTCAAAAAAGTACCCCAAGTGTAAATCTTTTTAGTAAATTATATCAAAGTAATCAAAGAACAACAAATAAATTTATTTATTAAATAACAAAAATATAATTTTAAAATATTATGGCTTTAAAGCAAAATTTAGATTACAAAGAGAATTTTGAATTCAAAAGAAGTCATTTTGAAAAAAAAAGGAGGCAATCTCTGGACGAGGAACCATTGAAACCGTACTAAGTTCCTTGACACAAAAGCTGCCTTATATGATAAAAAAAAATAACGCGATTCAATTTATTTTTGCTGATAATGAAAAATAAGTGCTTTCAGCATTTTTTCCAAACAAAGTTTTTTTTTTCTTTAACTGAGCTATTTCTTCTGAATCTGCTATTTTTGAACTTTTACCATTTTTTTCAAAGCAAAAAGTTTTCTTTACTTAAGTTTAGCTATTTTTTTTCAGTCTCTCATACCTTCAAAAATCCTTTAAACAAGAAAGGGGCCATGTTCTTTTCAGCGATGAGTCAATTCAAAGTGATTCTCGTCGAGTCTTCACCTGGAGAGAAAGTGGAGCTCGCTTTCATCCCCACCACATATCAAAAAGTGACAGATTTCGCGGCAAAGGAATCCTTGTGTGTGGTGGCATAATGTTGGGCAGCCGTACACCCCTGTACGTTTTCGATGCGAGAACTCTCAATTCACAGCGCTATATGAATGGGATCCTGCAAGTCCACATGAGGTTTTTCTGGGTGGTATGGCCCTGGACTACATTTTTATGGACGAAAATGAGCGGCCACATTAAACTCGCATTTTTGATGAACTTCATTAGGGAGGAGATATTCGCCATATGGATTGGTCCTCGAGGTTTCCTTATCTAATTCCTATTGAACATATTTGGGATGGTCTAGGAAAAGCCATTTCTCAGCGTATTCCCTCTCCCAAGACCCTCTAGAAATAAAAATACGTGCTTTTAGAAAAATGGGCTTTGTTGCCACAAATATTTATTGACACTCTCAAAAAACAGTATGACAGCTCGTTTATGAAGCTTTCATACCGGTGCACGATGGTCACACTTCAAATTAGACAGACTTTTGACGAGCTAAATGCTTTATCTCTGATTCATGATTTTGCGCTTTTTGATATAAAGTGTATTTTCTCACACTGTAACACGGTTTTGTGCCAAATTTTGTGGCAATACAGCGAATAGTTCATCAGTGTTCCTAGATTTTGTGACCTTAATTTTGGACATGAGTATATTTTACACACTATTTGTTTTCCAGCTCGTAGTGTTTAAACTTCATAAGTCGTAACATTTTTGGTATTTAGAATCATTCAAGAAAATCTCGTGGCAAATAATGCAAATCAGAAGCACATCTTTGCCCATAGATTGAACTAAAGATAAACTATATTTTAAATATTCAGTATAGTAGTGCCTGTGATAAAGTTTTGTAATGAACACACAAATTCTGTTTCGCTGTCATTTTTTTTAAACGTTAAACTGATTTTTAGATAATTCAGTTGCATGCTTTGTTTAAAGTTCCTGTTTAAATGGCTAAAAAAAGTTTTTTTTTGTAGCGCCTATGGTAGTTTTAAAAATTATCAATGAATTCACTTACTTTTATACTTCCCCAAATCGGTTAACCTGAATACTGCCAAATATTTGAATACACTTTACAATTCGACTCCGACGGAAATATTCAATAATATAACTAATGTCTTGGAATCTCAACATCATAAGCGCCCAAATTTTAAAGCGCATGCGTACAGAACAAAGCAGATGAAGACATTCGCGCACATTTGGAGACTTAATTTATTTACACAGTTGGGCGCAAGTTACTTTTCTGCATAATAGAATTAATGCCATCCTTTCTCTATTGTAAGAACTCCGTTTAATTTAAAACAAGAAGTATTAATTCTTTTTTTTCAGTCAATTACTTTGGTCAACAAAGAAGAATTTTATTTTAGTTACTTTTTATTAAAACGTTACAATTAATATAAACATGTATATACATATGACAGAATCACAATATTAAGTGACAAAATAGAGGAAGTGATTTTACTTGCAATTTCCCTATCTATAAAGGGTGTTGAATTATTTTTTGTTTGTTTGTTACTATTTATATTCACTAACTAAGTTTAATTATTTTAATAAAATAGTATAGTAAAAACGAAATAACATTCTCAGAAATTAGGCCATCCCAGATGGGATTGGAAGCCGCCACCTTTGGATTAGAAGTCCAACGCGCTTTCCATTGCGCTACAGGGACACAACGAACAATTTTCCTTTCTATATATGCTGTTGGACTATTATTTTTGCTTGTTACTATTTATTCATTTTTGAATTCAATGAATGAATTAATATTTGGAAAAACTGTATTAACATCAAGTGTCATCCACTACAAGTTTAAAAAAATGTATTTGAACTTGAATGGATGAATAGAAAGTATTTTATTAAACGATTGAATATTTGGACAAGATATATATATATATATATATATATATATATATATATATACACATATAGGGAGAAAGTGAACTAATAAGTGAAAAAAAAGGACGCGAGAAGCGTAGAAAGTGACAAAAGTGAAAACACTCCATTGTTACCAGTTTTCCAAAATTATGGATTGTACATTCTAAAGATATAGTAAAAAAATGTTTTAATTAATTTTTGAATTAGATTTTAAAAGTAGTATCTTATCCCGTTGGTCAATTTTAAACTACTGCAACATTCAAAAACGCAACCTCTAACAATAAAGTTCGATGAATAGTCCTGTAATATTAACGTAAATGAAATTTTTTGAAAGTTACCTTACTGTCCTTCGAAATAGTCACCTCCCATAACTATTTCAATGGTTAAGATCTGCTATACATGTCTTGGAAACTTTGCAAGAAGTCTTCTTTTGGGATGGAGTTCAAAAGCCTTGTCACGTTTCGTTGGATTTCAGAAATATCGTCAAATCTCTTTCCTTTCAAAGCGAGTTTGAGTTGTGAGAATAGGAGGAGTCTAGAGGATTGAGATCTGGCGAGTATGACGGATGTTCAATTTGCCCCCCCCCCTCTTTTTTGCCATAAACTGTTTGATGATATTGGCTGTATGAGGGCAAGAATTGTCATGAACAAAAAACATGAACCTTGTTGTGCTTACTGAGGTCGTACCCTACGTAGACGTTTCATAAAACGGGTCAAAATTTCAATGTACCTTGCAGTATTCCTCATCGTTTCCCCAGGTAGAAATTCTTTACGAATAATGCCTTGACTATCAAAAAAGGGGATGAGCAACGCACCCCTGGCCGTCTTCCGCTATTTGGGTTGTCCGGAGACTTTCATGGCCTTCTCGAAAACGGTCGAACCACTCGTACATACACTTCATGGACAGTGCTTGACCTTCATACATACGTACCAGCATCACATAAGTTTCTTTCGGGGACTTGGCAAGCTTAAAAAAAACTTTAAATTAATCTTTTGGTCATTCATTTCCCTGTTCTCAGTTAGGAACCAACACGCTAAATTAGCACTTTGTAAAACAAGTCTTACACGGAACACAAATGACACTCAACTGAACAACGTCGGGGACAGATGGTCAAAGCCTGGAACTATTCATGTGCAGCGTTTTGTTTCGCTAGTGTTGCCAGATCAACCGTTTTCACTTCATTCACAGAACTTTATTGTCAGAGGTTGTATATATAAGTATAAAATAGCTTGTTTAAAATATGCACTGTTCAATAATAAAACATGATAAAAGCTTTATTTTATTAGTATATACATCTATTGTATGGGAAGGAAAAAGGAAATTAAAGTGATGAAATTTTAAATAAAATATCTGTATTTAATATTTGTTACATTGAATTAAAAATACACTGTGGGTTTAAAAGATATTCTTAATATGAGGAGTGGTTGCAAGAAATTTTGCTTTTAGCTGCATTTAAATGCTGTTTAAAGTCTTGTGTGATTAATAATTCAAGCATTTTCTTTGACTACATCAAAAGAAGAAATAATAGTTGACATTTATGTGCGCATGTATTTTTTTATTTCACATCTATCATTTATGCGTAGGGCGTTTTTCAACATTATTCCCATGATGAATGATAAATCTCTATTCAATTTAAAATGTATTTTTAATTTATTTCCAAGAAATCGTACGTTTGTAGCTCATCCAATTATTTCTATGATACAGAAGCCATTAAATTCTGGATAAATTATTGATAAAGGAAAAAAATGTTTAAATTGGAAGAGTAACTAAATTCTCTCAGCTATAATGAAATATGCAAATTCAATTTAAATTTTAGAACAATGTTTCCGTTTAAAGATCTTGATCATTCATGAAATAAAGTTATGCAGACTAATTTGGTGTATAAAGTAGAATTGTTTTGTAGCGCATAGCATATTCTATTCAAGCAAAGGAGTCAAGAAAATTACACGAGATAATTGCGTATGGGTTATGCAGAGAAGGAAATGCAAAAAAAAATTATATGAGAGATTTAATTCTATAAAGTTATGAAAAACACACGAAAAGAGGCTTCTCGACATCGATTTGATTACATGTAAATGACAACTAAAATAATGTTTGAAAATTATGTAAGATGTTTAATGTGATGTATGGTCTCCTCGAACATCGCTAACTGCTTCTGCACATGTTATCCATGGATGTAAGGAGGCAATCGAAGACACTTAAGGAATTACTTTTCCACACTTATGAAAGTGCTATATTCAATACGTCTAGAACAGGAAACGGAGGCATGTCTCGCTGCAATGCATTGTCTGAGTGTATCCCAAGTACATTCGATCGGATTTAGAAATATATTGAGTCAGGAGAGCATGTTGGCCACTCCATATTTCAGTTTCAAGCAAGTCAAAATGTACTGATTTTTACACTTTTATGTATTAATGAAAAGATTGAAATCGCAAATGGCGCTATTGTAAAGCATTCACCCTTGGGTGATGCCTTACTTCTAAGTTATCTTAATGACCTAGTGATGTGGGAGGGAATAAAGAACCAGGCGTTGCCATAATCTTAATATCTCTTTATTGTAATCTTATCTTAAACACTAACAATGATAATATTTATATTTTAACTCAGTGGATCTGAGGTGAGAAACACACAATACGTATTACCAAAGAAGTGCGACCTTAATCACTATGTTTAATTTTACGCCTATTCCTAATCTCAGTTCATACACAGTTCCTAATATTAACTTGAATGATTCTACCTCTATATCCTAGGTAGCAGCAACACTCGCGAATCTTCAAAGTAATTTCCTTATCTCGCGTGGAATGGTATCCACCTTGCTTGAACGCACTTTCATGGATAGCTGACACTGGAATATCGGCTTACTTCAGCTTACACGCTTAAACTCTGACTCGCATAATCACTTCCTAAATGGCCACACCGCTTACGCTAAACTTTTGCTATTTAAAAGGTTCCTAATTTGAATAATCACGCTTCGCTTCTGGATTTGGTTGGAAAGGATTTGCCTTTTTTGGCCTCAAAGAACCCAAGAGGAAAATTAATAGAAAGCGCGATGAGCCCGTCACATTATACCGTCTGCATAGATTTGAGTTTAGAAATTATCATTCTGAATAATATGCAGTTGATTTCAGCACATATTTTCAACCCACCTTGTATGTACTGTGTTCTTGGAAGTTATTTCGAACGTCTCTGTCCCTTCAAAGCAGAATAAACAAAAACTAGTTAAACTCCTGATCCAATAGGGACTCGTCAGTAAACAGTACCTAATTCCAATCACTCTTTACATACAAATTCGATATTCCATAATCCACCTTCATTGGGCTACACAGTATATTCAGGTCAAATAATGCATACCATTGTTCTGTTTAGTTACAGACCAACCTGATGAATTTTATTTCAGACTGTTTTGGGCTTGACATTCTCCATCTTGTTTCAAAAGCAACTGTTTTTGCGGTTGAGTAGGATTGCCTGTTTTGTTTCGATGAGCTGTTAACAAGAGGCACCAGTAATTAGTTACTGTGCATTTTTTATTTCTTGGAGTCGATTGAACAGTCTTGAATGGATTTGAAATGGTACTCATTACCTCTCATACAGAATCAGCTACGCTTTGTGTTTTCTTGAATTCAAATCTCCCGATAGTTGACTAAGCCGTGGATTCCAGTAATTCACGTTGCATTGACATTTTCTAAACCTTTTTTAAAACAAAGAAGCCGAACACAATTATTTATTATAACTAAGGTAGTAAAAAGAAAAAAAAAGGCTTCTGGGAAAATATACTTTCTGCTTGTATCGTCTTCTTATTTTTGACATCATGAACATTGATTTGCATACAAAGTTTTTCTTCTGTTTTCTACTACATTTTGAACTATGAAAATTTTGTTTTATGTTAGTTATCAGTAGAAATATATGTGTATGTAATTTCATTACAGCCATGTGCTCCGCAAATAATATTTTAATATACATATTAAAAATGGTACTCAATAACACACACACACACACACACACACACACACACACACACACACACACACACACACACACACACACACACACACACACACACACACACACACACACACACACACACACACACACACACACACACACACACACACACACACACACACACACACACACACACACACACACACACACACACACACACACACACACACACACACGCACGCACGCACGCACGCACGCACACACACACTTATGCTCTAAATTGCCGTAAGTCTTAAAAAATCAAAACAAACATTAAAGTATAAGAAGACAGAATAGATCAGAGAAGAGAGCATGCATACTGTTTATTTGTATTTCAAGAAATATATATAATGCATTCTCTCTTTTGAGAAAAATAAATATATATAGGCACGATTACCACTCTTTTTTGAATCAGATATTTTGTGCGCGTGTGTGTTTGTGATGTTTAATGTGCGTGTATGTGAAATATAATTTTCGTGCTTATGTGAGGTATATAATGTATTTTTATATGAACACGCTATTTTTGCATGAACGCAAAATACAAAATTAAAAAAATTTGCGAATCGAACAAAATAAAACATTTTATGTTTCAAGTTATTAATGTGATCACACATAATTTTCTTTAGTGAATATTAATGTAACTGACGCATTATAATTATTAAGAAAAGTAAATCCCTAAAGAATAGGAAGAATCTTTTGAAAACCGGAAATCAGATTAATTGTTAAGGAAAAGTAAACCTGAAAGAAATATATCATTGATAAAAAAAAGTGATTCATATTAGTATAATTGATGATGAAATTGCAGAAATAATTACA